AATGCCTGAGTTCTTCACAAAGCCTATTTAACACTCAGAAAATGAAGTGTTCCCCCTTTCTGTAATACAGTGCTGATGTATGTATGACTTATTAATGCTTTGTGTACTGTTCCTGTGTTATGCAGAAACGTTAGAAGTACCAAATGATAACTAATTTTCATTGCCTGTATGCTGTGTTGCATATATTTTTTGAAGGATGGTTGAAATAAGCCTCTGTTTGAATGTGTACTTCTCTGTACAGCTCACTTGTATTAACAAACCTAAGTCAGTCACATTTCTAATGCTCTGTTCTGTTTGTTTTTTGTTTACACAGGTTCTGCCTGTACATCTGCACTCATCTGACAAGATGGTTTTTCGGAAACCACCAGATGGTGGCTGGGGCTGGGTGATTGTTGCTGTTTCCTTCTGTACTCAGTTCTTGTGTTACGGATCACCGCTGGCGGTGGGAGTCTTGTATTTAGAATGGCTGGATGCTTTTGGAGAAGGGAAAGGCAAGACTGCATGGGTTGGATCACTAGCAAATGGAATTGGATTGCTTGCCAGTAAGTGTAGAAGCAGTATCTGTCTTAAATTGAAATGCTTCTCTCTAATAGATGCTTTCATCTGTGTGTGCTTTTGGAATTATATTAAAGACAGCTGCAAATGATAGAATGAGGATGCTGCATTTTTGTTTTAGGTGAAGACAGGTAAGAAGATTACCTTTATAGTTGCACTATACATAAACCAAACAATATAATGGTGAAAGAGCAATAAAAATGTTACCCTTAGACAATTCAAAATTATTGTATTTCAATAAACTAGAAAAAACAAGCTCTGGGAAACTGAATGGTAATTTTGTTGATGGAATTATCATTATTATTATTTTAAATGAGGCTTTAAGACTGACGTTTGCATTAGTATCTTTAAAGTCAGTGCAAACTGACTGTGTCCTTAGACAATTCAAAATTATTGTATTTCAATAAACTAGAAAAAACAAGCTCTGGGAAACTGAATGGTAATTTTGTTGATGGAATTATCATTATTATTATTTTAAATGAGGCTTTAAGACTGACGTTTGCATTAGTATCTTTAAAGTCAGTGCAAACTGTTAGTCTGAAATGGTTCAATTGCTTTAAGAAAAAAAAAATCAATTAATAAGTCAGTTACTCATTTTTCAGCTCTAGAAGTAAACCCACCAGTTAGGGGAGAGGGCTCTTTTCCACTCTTTGAGAAAAAACTCCCTTTGAAGCCTGGAAAGTTATGGATAACAGTGGCATTAAATAAAACAATTTTAGTGGATGCTTTTCTTTAGTAAGACATTGTCACTTGCAGAGTAACAGCAGGGTTTTACGGAAATAAAACACCCCTTTGAAAGTCCAAAGGTCCATTTTGTTGTTGTTTTTTTAATATCGAGCACGGGTGTTGTACTGGGTGGTGTCACTAACTTCTGCTTTTCAAAGATTCACCATGGGAACTGTTATCTTTTTGCTGAATTTTGGAAAAAATTGCATGTCACCACAGCAATTGCTACAGACAAAAACAATTATATAGCTTAATGGACAAAATGCAGCTCAGGAATCTGAGGAAATCTCTCCTTAAAAGAAAGCTGATGTTCAAATAGTGGAACAGGCCTGAATAAAGACCACTGCTTTGTATGATGCTATAAGTGGCCAAATACTGATGTCATACTCGTGTTGGGGTTTTATTTCACTAGACAGAACAGAAATGGGCAAAGTCAGGTGGATCATTAACCACAAGAAAACTCTATTTGGTCCTAGCGTGTAAGTGGGCAAAGGACTGTAGACTGCTCTTCCATCATACTTTTTTATTTTCCTGTTTTAAGCACATTAACTCCTATTATTAATGGATCAAGACCTAAATAAACTTGAGAGAATGAAGTGGGGGGAAAAGAAGGATAAACAAGATAGTTACTGAAGAAAAACTAGGAGAAGATTATAAGAGAAGGAGTGAAGAAAAACCCTCTCCCTGGAGACCAGAAGTTTCTGGCTCACTCCTCTGGCAAGAGCCTCAGCCCTCTTTCTCCTATGTCTACACCACACTAGTTTCCAGATTTCTTAATGCCCTCTGTCTTGCCACTGTGAGCAATAGTCAGTAGTGTGCTTTATAGCAAATAGAAACTTCTGTGACTGAATAATACAAATAAAAGCTGCTATTATAATTGATTTTGGTATTGAATGATTAAATTACTTGAAATTTGAATAGGTTAGGAGGATCGTTGTCTGTCTGTACTTTTATTCTTTCAGGATTTGGAAGTTTAATAATCATAATAATTCATACCTTCAAAGAAAAGTACAGTGAGGGCCTTTTAATTGCATTGATATTATTAGAGTTGACTAAAAACAAAATATATATTCCATGCATTACCTGAAATGGAAGATGCCACTGTCTTATCAAGCTGGGATCTGACCTTAATGATAACTCTACTTAAAGTAAACTTGTTGAAGGGACACCGCAAGAAACATATCATCTGCCTAAAGCTAGAATGCTCTTGGCAAGTTACAAATTTTCATGTAGTTTTCATAGCTGGCCTTTTTCAGCCCTAGTCACTAGTGTAAAGAACATATGTGTTTTCAGTGCAAAACCGTTGATCTAACCCATTGCAAAGTTAGGGCCTTTTCATGAATACAGGAAAAGAGAACTTGCTTCTGTTTTTATTTCTGTTATTGCAGGTTCCAGTATTATAGGCCAGGTGGGACCTTTATGTATTGTAGCCTATGTTAAGTAGATGATCAGGCTAATTGAATTTTTCTAAATTAGCATATTTTAATGTATGTAGAAATATATTATCTGTAACTTCATAATTTAACGATCTCCACAAGCTGGTTTCAGCAGCAGTATTGCATGTGTGAAAACCTTTCAGTTGTCCCCCTCCCACCCTGTTCCTAACTTGACTCTTCTAGTATTTATTGTACTTTCACCTCCTTTATTTTGGTTTCTAGTCTCTGATCAAGTTATCTAAAGATATATTTTCAAGTATTGGTACTCTTAAAGCAATCCGTGTTGCATGCTTAAAATACCTTAATTCTCATTTGATTTAGAACGTGTTTGTTTAGTGCATTCTCTGTCTCTTATAACTTTTCTCAGTAGTTAATTCTGTCCTTAAAAGTATGTAATCTTCAGATACAAGTTGCTTAGTTTTACTTTTTAGCTGATTAATAATATTATCTTTAAGTGGTATATTTTTAAGTTCTCCTGAATTAGTGTGGTGTATGTCTAGAGACTGCAATCAAATCGATTCTAAATTTTCTTTTAAGCCTGTACCTCGGTACAGTCTTTTTGCTATTGATACAAGAGACTTCCGCTCTTTAATTAAGGCTCTTCTGGAAAGCTATTAAGACTCTTCTGTGTGTCCTCTCCAACTTAACATCGTGTTTCTGAAGCTGTAGATGCCAGACTGGAAAAAGAAATGGCAGTTATGGTAGATTTGCAGCTACATAGAGGAAATAAGTTAGTGTCCATTTTCTTAAGGAAGACTCTTCTCAGTTGATAGCACTGGAAATCATATTAGCTAGCTTCTGTAACGGTGGAAAGTAGGTCTGGTGACTTTGCTATATTAGTACTGTAATTTCACCAAAAAGAAGAAAATGTCCTTATATTTATGCCAGCTGGCACAGAAAAAGGTTCTGTGTGTCTTCTCCTCTTCCCTCTGTACATCTAGTCTTGAACATTTTTTGACGTAGCTGATGGTGGTGAGTCCTTTCACATTTGCTGTATTGGTATCCTTTCTACAGTGTTTACTTCTGACTTGTGTGAGAGCTAAACTTAGACTTGAGACATAGAAACCCAGTACAGCACCTTGTTTATTGAGATGAATTTCCTAGCCGCCTGGTGTTCGATTTCTGTCCTCATGCTTGCAGCACAGACAGTGTTGCTAAGGCCAGTGTTCAGCCCTGAGCTGGGCTGTTCTGCTTGTCAGCTGGAAAAGGGAATAGGACAGGGACCTGGTTGATGTCTTCCTTGCATCATGACTTGAGTTAGAACTTTCTGTGATGTGACCTTACAGTGTATTGGAAGAAACGTGCCTAAAACAGTGAAAGAAAAGCATCACTGTTATTGTACACGGCGGTGGTGAGACCTGCTCTACAATATTAGGTGCGGCATGTGCCTCCATGGATGATGTAGGGCTTGTTGCATAGGAAGAAACGGAAAGAGTTTAGCATGTTTCCCCTACTAAAACGAGCCAAAGGAGAATATTTATTAAGTTGTTGAAGATTGTATGTTTCTCTTGCACCAAGTGTTCTTAATTTTACATCCATTTGGAGCCTGAAATTAAATGTGATCCATGTTTTACTTGCTAAAAGCAAAAAAGACAAAGACCTTGGTGTCTGTAACTGGCACCACAGCTGTTTATAGTAAGAGCTGACTTCATAGTATTTGGCATAGCAGGAGACACCAGCAGTATGTCTCCATTCCCACTCCCCTTTATTAATGAAGAAAGAACAAAAGGAGGATTCTGCCTTGAAAGGCACATCTTGATAAATTAATGGGGTATTTCTACTGTTCTGAGGCATTCAGTGTTAAATGTTTAAAAAGCTTAATTTTGTTTTTTCAAGCAATATTTTTACAATTACAAAAAAACCTTTGCAGCATCCACATATTTTTGGACAAAAATCTCACATATAGATAGGTCTCACTGTAAACTGTGGAAGCTATACATAGTTTGTGGGAGGGGAGAAGATATCCCAAAAATTCCTCAGAAGAGGAGCTCAGTTCATTTAATAACTTTGTCAGAAAGGAGCAGTCGTTTCAGTCAGTTGAAGTGGATTGCTGTCCAGTGTAAAAAGGCTTTTTCTGATCTGCGTTCTTATCCAGAGTACAAACACTTGGAGAATATTATATTTATTATGACCAAGTTTTAGCAATGCATTTAATATGAAAAAAAAATTCTTGTGTTCTGTCCAGTGGATTTTATGTGCAGTCCATGAGCATTGCTTCTACTCTACAGTTTCAACAGGCTGAGACAGATACCAACAAGTAGGATGGGTCAGATTAATGCAGGTGATAAGTAAAAGGACTCAGTTGTCCGGTATTGTTTGTTTAGCAAAAGGTTTTGTGTGTGCATGAAGTGAAGGAGGGAGGACCCTTGAGAGGGTGAGTGGAGCAAAGAGTGGTAGTTTGCAGAATTTTTCTCTTCATGTGAGAAGACTGAGGAAGAGAGTGCTAGTTCTTGATGTCTGTTAAATAAAACAACTTTGTACTCATGAGGAGATCAGAAGATTGCAGTAGTTATAAAGTTTTGGTGTGAGCAGCAGATGGCTTGTTTTCACATCTCAGGAAGGACTCTGTGTCTCATCCAGGTCTCACTGAGGGTAAAGTCTCTTACTCAAAATATCTTCATGAAAATATCAATGTACAAATTCTTTCTTCTAGGAGTTCTTCCTCTTCGGTCTCTCTGAATGAAATCTACTGTGAAAGCCCATCTTAGTTCTGCTGCTTCTTTCCATTTTGTCTAGGAATCTTCTTGACTGCTTCCCTGCAGAGCCTGATAATTGTATTACTGACTGCAGAGCTTTGACGTGTTAGGTACAGAAGAGCAGTGGCTGTGCCTGTGCTGGCTTCTAAGTCTTTCAGAACAATACAGTTTTCTTCCTAGAGGTAGCTCTCATTATTATAAGCTGGACTGGTGTCTTTTTCTGATAGAGTTTGGTCTAGTTTTAAGATACATCATTTGGAAGAAAAAAAGACCCAGGGATCTTATTTGTAAAAGAGGTAATTATTTATCAATGTCTTCAAATATTACTCTAATACCAGTGTTAATGCCCACGGTTGCTCAGCAAACTGAAGAAAATACTGGCTTAAAAGCCATTTTTCATGCTTCCTATTGAGGATTGCCACTGGGATATTATTTTTGTGTTGTTCACGTTAAAAGTGAGAAAGGAAGTGGAAGTGGAAGGATCTTTCTGAAAGAGAGTCAACTAAATAAAAACCCTTATGCTGCCTGAAGAGCTGTTTCTCCTGTGGCTGTACATAGACTCTTACATTCATCAGAATGTCCATTTTGAACAAAATCCACAGGGCAGGAGTTCACAGAGCAAGTCTCAGTCCCACTCTGGGAAAGTTGGATGTTTGACCAGAATTAACGGCCTTAAACCCATTGTGCTTGAATTACTTGTAGAGAATAACATGTTTTTGTACAGTGAACTCCTGTGCAAATACCATGGTAATAACCAAAGGTAGCGTGCCTGGTAGAAAAAAAAATGCCAGCTCTTTGGGAAACACTGAAAGAGAAGAAATTCAAGGAGGCAGGGAAAAGAACAAAGATGCTGTCTGTCATGGGGGCTTTCTTTTGTGACTTTTATTTTCTGGCAGTATGATGAGGGAAATGTGAAAGTAGAGCCTAGTGTGTAGGGGAAGATAGAGCTGTTTTTCTTCTTGTCCTGGAGACCTATAACTATTTTAATACTTATACTGGCATTCCTTCTTATAAACAAGGTCGTTGCTGAGCTGCCAGATATCTTACTGTGTGAGATGACACATTAATACTGAGCTTATTGGAACACATTCTTCAGTTTTGTGCAGGTTGTTTTCCACGTCAGAGTAAAAAAGATTTCTTTGTGCTTTTTGTTCTCCTTTGGGGTTATTTTTTCTAAGTGGGAGAAGCTGGAAGAGCATCTCCTTGGACCCTATCAGAGATGTTTTTGATGTTGTTCCAGAGGAGAGTGTCCTTGTCAGATTACAAAGACATATTTTTCAGCTCTGTGTCTCCCTTGTTCTGGCTTGGGGTCAGAGGGTCCAGCTTCACCTTGGATTCTCTAGTAGCAATCAGTGCAGTCTGTACCAGTACCACCATCCCGGGCTGGACAAAGACCTTCTGAAAGGAACCATGTCAAAATATAAAGAGCAGGTGGAAGGGAAATGCTGTTTGTTTTAGCAAGGTAGTGGGTGAGAAATAAAAACTAGAACGAGTGCAAATTCCTCTGCTTAATTGAATTATGTTATCCCTACCTAATGTTCTTTTAGTGTAGAATTTTTTAATGTAATACAGATTCAATCCTTTGTTTATTTTTAAATCCTGTGGTTTTAGGAAACATACCAATCTTAATTTGCCAGTTCTAGTAATTAATTCTAAGAATCAGCAACAATCTAACACTCTCAGCTTTTGTTCTCAGCAAGTTACCCTGCCCAAGTTATTCTGGCCAGCTTTCATTCCCACAGCATGCTGACTCTGGAGAAGCAGCGAGCACTTACATCTTCCTTTTTTGTCCTTTCGAAAATCCAAATAAACCTCACTTCCCCAGAAGATTTTCCTCAAATCTTCTTTAACTCTGACCCTTTGCCTGGATAAGCCCCAGTTCAGACTCACTTCCCTTTACATTCCCTAGGCAGATAGCTCTTACGCAGGGCAAAAGTTCTGACCTGCCTTGCCTTTGAGAATCGTTTCACCTGCTAACGAATCTGTGCTCCTGCCTACCAGAACTGCTTGTCCCATGGCTGGTAACCACACGAAAACCTTGCCTACATTCCCAGCTGCTAGCTCCTGTCTGCAAACGCAGACAAGCACCGTCCTCAGCTCCAACTGTTGTTCACCTCATATCACCTCTCTGGGCTCACCTCCCATCTGCTGGGAATCTCAGTTATGTGTGAGTCGGGGAGGACCAACCTTAACAAATGGCAGACTCCAAAGTTACTGCTTTTGCAGGTGGTATTGGCCATGGAGTGTCTTTGTATTGCTGCAAATGAGATACAAAAGTGGCGAGGGTTGTGGAGTTTTTGTTGTTGTTTTTGTTTTTAAATAATGTCATTCATCTGTGTATTTAACTTCTAATCTCAGATGCAAAGTTTAGGATCTTGGGGCTAATATGTTAATCTGTGAATGTTTGGAACTGCAGGGTTTCAGACAAGAGATTGTCTTTTGCAAGCCAAGTCCCTTACTGGTTGCTTATTTATGCAGGGCACCAAGCTTGCACGCTACTTCAGATTAAAAGATGTATTCCTGGTCACACAACTGAAAATAAGTGTTTGTTCTACAGCTTCTGTGAGAGGAATCATAGAATCATAGAATGGTCTGGGTTGGAAGGGACCTTAAAGATCATCTAGTTCCAACCCCCCTGCCATCAGCAGGGACACCTTCCACTAGACCAGGTTGCTCAAAGCCTCATCCAACCTGGCCTTAAACACTTCCAGGGATGGGGCATCCACAGCTTCCTTGGGCAACCTGTTCCAGTGTCTGACCACCCTCACAGTGAAGAACTTCCTAATATCTAATCTAAACCTCCCCTCTTTCAGCTTAAACCCATTTCCCTTTGTTTTGTCATTAACTGCCCTTATGAAAAGTCCTTCCCTAGCTTTTTTGTAGGCCCCTTCATGTACTGGAAGGCCGCTATAAGATCTCCCCGGAGCCTTCTCTTTTCCAGGCTGAACAGCCCCAACTCTTTTTGCCTGTCCTATAGGAGCTAGGAGAACTAGCTGAGTAGAGGCAGAGTACGAATGTTGCCTGCACTTTGTTCTTGTTTTGAAGAACTAACCAACCGAGAAATATTGTGGGAGTAAAGAAAGAGAGAAACATCTTCCAAAATTCATGAGTGGTGCTCTGGACATTCTCAGTAAATGCCTTTTAGTTTCCTTAGTTTTACTGTAGAAGCCAAGGAAGGTAGTAAACGGTTATTTGGTAGAATACTAACTAGCAGGTATTTAATTGCCTAGAAAATTAGGGAAGACTAATGTTTGTCTTTATCTAGGTATTTCCTCTATGTAAGCACCAGCTGGAATTCTTATCATAATTATGATCAGAAGGTAGTATTTTCCATTTCAGTTTTATAAATCTTATCTTATATCAAGATGAATACAGATACTGTCCTTTCTGAAACACAGTTTTTGGGCTCTGTTAAAGCCTAGCTGATGGTCTAACTTCTTCTGGTACCTAAAGAGGAAGATCCTTTTCAGAACCTTTGTACAAGTCCTTAGGTGTGCTGTGACAGTGTTACAGTCTACTATGTGTCATCCTGTGTTTAAAGAATATTTTGCTTTCCAACCTGAGTACTATTTTGTGGTCTTGATGTCAGTTTCTCCTTGAGCAAAAATCTTGCAAGCCTGATCTTCTATGTTTGTATAACTGACTCTTTTTAAAGAATCCTGTAAAAATGAGTACTCTGAATTGTTCTTTAATATATAATGATATCTTTAAATAATTATCACAAGAAGTAGTTCCATAGACTGGAATTTTTTTAGGAGTTCATTCTGATGCTGGTATTTACTAGGAATGTTTTTCCTACTTTTCCTCTAGGTCCTGTCTGCAGTATATGCGTATCATCTTTTGGAGCAAGGCCAGTAGCAATTTTCAGTGGCTTTATGGTGGCCGGGGGCCTCATGATGAGCAGTTTTGCACCTAACATATACTTCCTATATATTTCATATGGGATTGTTGTTGGTAAGAAACACCTCTCCTTCACATAGAAACTTAATCTTTATTATTTTGAGTCTTGCTTTGTGAATCTGAAATTAGAAACTGATTCTCAGAGACAGTGGTAGTCTGGGACTTGATTTATCAAGGAATACTTTACTTTGGGGCAGGGAGGGGTGTCGCACAGCAGATTGTCACCATGTAGCAAAAGATAAGGGCAATATGTATGTTCATCAGGGTTTGAAAACAGTTTGTCTTCTGTTGATGTGATTGTTAGAGATGGAGAAGCTAAGGTTTTACCTAAGGTGTGGAATCAAGCAGGTCTTCTGCAGGCGTTAAGTGCCAATCCTAAAGGAGTAACATCTCTTCAGGAATTTTGTCATGTACTCATTCTAATTTGATAAATTAGGGATCATTAGGGAGCAATGTTGTTCTCCACATAACTGGATTGCCCCTAAAACGCTGTGCTGAGGGCATGAAAGTCTGGTTCTCCTGGCAGGTGGTGACCTTCTCTGTGCTGCAGAGGGCTGCTGTGGGTGGTTTACCAAATGAACTGTGTGAGGAAGCCGGGCACCTCGCTGGCCAGCAGGGACCCAGCTGCATGCTGGCTCAGGCGTGGTGCCATGCAGGCACAGCTCTGCTGTTTTCTGGGGCCAGCCCCTGGACTGAAACCCTTGTAACCCTTTCCCATCACACAGAGCATGAGCTGGTGAACTCCTCAGACCCAATGCAGGCAACCTAAAGGTCCTACCAGTATGAGGCTGGTGTGGCTGGTGCTGAGCCAGAGTTAAAAGGCACCCCTGTGGTCAGGGTACACTACTGTTTTATCTGGGGAATAAAAAGGGACATACATTTCCCAGAGTGTGTTGCATGCTTTTAACTCTTTTTCTCAAGGTCTTGGATGTGGCCTTTTGTATACCGCAACAGTCACCATCACTTGCCACTACTTTGACAAGCGCAGGGGCCTTGCACTTGGTCTGATTTCAACAGGTATGACTTTTAATTGTCATTATCTCTAAGTTTTCAACTGTGATACAGCTGCCATTGCCCTGGCAATAAAAACCATGAGATTATATTTTTCTCAGTTACTTCCTGAAGTACTTGTTAATGCGAAACATCAGTAGCCATGAACAGATAAAATCAGGCTTCAGATGAAGTAGTAACTACACTTGCAGATGTATGGTATGGGTTATCCATCTAGATGGATAAGGATAGATGAGAAAAGGATATTCACTAGATTGAGAGCAGACTCATGAGTAGCTTGGGCTGTATGCTCTCTCATCCCTCCTCTTTCTTACACAAGTTCAGAGGTAAGAAAGAGACTGGAGATGCTGGATCACCATAATATTAGCTATATCTTTAAAGGAGTAGTTGAAGTTTGGGCTTACATTTTCAATATTTTTTTTATTTCCCATCTAAAATGAGACCAAATTCTGATATGTTCCAAAAGCTCATCCCAGCTTTCTGTCCATGAATGTTAAAGGGATCCTAGAAAAACAAACCTCTGATAATACAAGAAAAAATTTGAAGGATGCTGAGCAGTCTGTCTTATCCTCTCTCTGGGTCTTTAGGTTGTGTGATATTGTCCTTTAAACCAAAAGGAATTGCTAAATTAATGGACCAAGTAGGAACTGTTAAAGCAAGCTGTTGTCTCATGCCTTGCTTTCTGTGTTGTATGGAGGCTTTCCCTCTGATCTGTTTTCTCAAGTAGCTGTTAGTGGGAAGAGGCCCGGTCAGTACAGTCAGTGTTGTGAGATATTAATGCCAGATCCACACCAGTGAAGTAAAGGGGAATGTCTGCAGAAATGTTCCTTGGAATAATATTCAATGTCTTTTTGTTGAGATTCCAGGTAGTTTGCCTTAAAGCCTAATCTTATTGAGCCCTGGTTAATTTGAGTGGACAAAACAAGTCTGAATTTGATAATTATGTTTTCCTGTGTTTAGCACTGAAGTATGTAAATGACTTTAATATAACCTAGAGACGGTCTTCAGCAAATCATTTTAATTTAAAGTGTGTCTTTAAATTGACTTGAAAAAACAATGCTTTGTATTTGTGAGTGGACATCCATTGATTACAATGGATCTATGCTCACTTCAACCAAGAGCCTTTTCTTTAGATTGGTGGGATTGCATAAAATGCTTGTGTTCATAGTAAATGCTTACTTCTCAGTTTTTTCTTCTGAATAGACAAATTTCTCAAATACGTGTTTGGCCCTGCAGAGCTTTAGAAATGCCTTTGGAGTAAACTTACTTACACCATGTAAGGCCCCTTCCTTAAGCACCAAGCAGTCAAGGGCTTTTTTCTAGGAGGGCTCTTGGTGAATCTCATGTCTGTTCCTGCCTTAGAGGAGGAAGGTGGCAGTGAGGAGGAGAAAGAGGAAAATGTTGGGGTGTGAAGTTCTACCTGTGCTAACTCAAAATGGTACCTGAAGGGATACATGTATGTGAGTGCATGGCAGAAGGATGGCTTAATGGTTCTTTGATGTTTTTCATCAGATATAGTATTGATCCTACTTGTTTCTAAAGTGTTTTCCAGTTAAGCATCATAAATTGTTCATGTATTTTGAAAAGCTTTTTATTTTGTGCATACTCAATAAAGAAACTGTAACTTCAGGTGGGATAATAACTTACCAGTTTATTAGACTGGGGAGAGAGGAGCACAAATGACTTACTATTCCCGTGGCAGTATATTTGTAGGTGCTGAAATGTAGAAGTTTGTTAGTGTTGAAGAATGTTCTCAGTTCTTCAATTCAAACTGATCTTATTTTCCTTTTGTAGGCTCAAGTGTTGGACTCTTTATATATGCAGCGCTGCAAAGAGAGCTTATTGATCTATATGGGCTGGATGGTTGTCTGCTGATAGTTGGCGCACTGTCTCTAAATATATTAGCATGTGGCAGCCTAATGAGGCCATTGGAGTCATCTGATTCCCGTCCACCAGAAAAAACATGTGTAGACAAAGTCCCAGATCAATATTTTGTTTACCATGAAAAAGAAAAGACTGTTGAAGAAAATATAAGCATCCTTGAGAAGGGCTACGTTGATGAAAAATGTGCGAACAATATGCCTGATTACAAACAAGATAGCATTTTAAATAAGAATGTATTAAGCTCAATAAATGTAAATGAGAAAGATACTTATAAAAAGAAGGTTGTAGAACAGACAAACTTCTGCAAACAACTCGCCAAAAGGAAGTGGCAGCTCTATTTGAACTACTGGGAGGAAACCATGGTTCTTTTTAAGAACAAAGTATTTTCAGCTCTCTTTGTTGCCATCTTGCTCTTTGATATTGGTGGATTTCCTCCTTCTCTGCTCATGGAAGATGTAGCAAGAAGTGCAAACATTAACGAAGATGACTATCATATGCCCCTTATTTCCATTATAGGCATTATGACTGCTGTTGGCAAACTTACTTTAGGAATACTGGCAGATTTTAAGTGGGTTAACACTTTATATCTATACGTAACTACCTTACTAATGACAGGAGTGGCCTTGTTTGCAATTCCATTTGCCAAAAGTTACCTTACATTAGCGATGCTTTCTGGGATTTTGGGTTTTCTGACTGGGAACTGGTCGATTTTTCCATATGTAACAACGAAGACTGTGGGAATTGAGAAACTGACTCACGCATATGGGATATTGATGTTCTTTGCTGGACTGGGAAATAGCCTCGGACCACCGATTGTAGGTAAGGTCAAGGTAAATACTATAAAATGAACATGAGCTTGTCAGGACCAGATAGCATTAATTTGCATGAAGGTAGTTCTAGTCAGTCCTAATAACATTGAAAGGTGAAATAAAAATATTCAACAAAAATTAAAGCCTGTCTTGCTTGAGCTTGTGTGCTGGTTTTGGCTTTGATGAAAAACACATTTCATGTCTAAGTGGTAAAGCTGCATTTTAGATTTGGCTTTTTTTTTTTTTTTGAGGGAGGAGGGAGTTTCATCATGTTTCTCTTAACCTACGGTACTTTGTTACATATAACTCCTCACTGATGCACTTCTCTCTTATTTTCACCCTCAGGTTGGTTTTACGACTGGACGCAGGAGTATGACACTGCATTTTATTTCAGTGGCTTTTGTGTCCTACTGGGTGGATTTCTTCTGCTGTTGGCAGCGTTACCCTGCTGGAATGCCTGTACCCATCAGAGCTCAAAGCTGCCTCCAAATACTTACTCCTACAAAGTTGCATCTAATGCTTAGGTGACAACTGGAAAACACTTTGTGCTTTTATATCATATAGCAAAGTATTTTAGTAATTTTCCACTTATTTATGAAGCCCAAAAATCCTCTTCCACTAGAAAAATTCCATTGTTGCTTGTTGTTCAGTTCTTTTTCTTCTTTTATTTCTTTTTTATTTAACTTTTAAGAACAGTCTTATTCTGTCTACTATGCACTGTGTTTTCAGCCTTTGTCTACTGTAATTTCCTTTCACCCTCTAAGGGGTATATTCTGCTGTATTATCAGCTGTACTTTTTTTTTTTTTTCCCCTCAAGGGGTTTGGTGTGGAGGGGTGAAAACTTTGAAGCACAAATGAAGGCCTGTTCCGTTTAGGAGAAGGCTGGTATTTCTGTCACCTTTTCTAGGTCTCCAAGTTGCACAATCAGACTTTACAAAACAAAAATTTGCCTTATTAGTATGTAATACTGTGGCAAGGTGCTTATAACATCATGCTTAGATTAACTTTTTGTCTTTTTAAAGTTTCTGCAATTTACAATGAAGTGCCAATTTGGGGGATGGCGAAGAGGGGGAACAAAACCAACCTTGTGTTGCATAACTGAAGTGAACTTTATGATGAAAGTAAAGATTCTTACTACCACTGCGACTAAGAACTATGTTTATAAATATTGCACGTTTTGTGAAGTCTGTTTATAAAACTGTTGAACCAAAACATTTTAAACCAAGGAATAAATATGATTGTTGAAACCTTGAAAAGAAATGCAGATTTGGTTATGCAAGTTCATAATCTTTAGATCGGAGCTGGAGATGTGCTCGCAGAAGCCCACAGGTGAGTGTTCCTAAGCAAGTCACCCGCAGTCTGGCAGTACCAGAGGTATCTCTTGTTGCACAACTACATTTTAGTAGGTTGAACCTGGTGCAGAGAGCTTAGTAGTAGAGCTTTCAACAGGTAGACCTGATGAAAAAAGGAAAAAACATGACAGCAATGTCATCTTCGCTCTGTCATCTTTGGAATGGACATAGCAAGGAGAAAAGTTAGTGACAGGGAGGAAGAAAAAGCATGGGGGAAGGTTAACAGAAGAGGTGTGAGGGAAACTGAGATGAAAGGAGTTACAACACTTGGACACCAAACAGGCCAATGAAGAGTGAGCCCCTGAAACCCACTGCCCAGATATTCTCTTAGCTGCGGGCTAGCTCTGCATGTGTATTGGCTTTTCGCTTTGGTTTAACCCAGGGCCCAAGGCTGGCATGACGGGGGGGAACGCTGTGAGGTTGAAGTCTTTCCTGAGCCAGGCAGGTGCTACAGTGAAGGCAGGGTGACTCAGCTAGCTCTGCACTGCCCTGCACGCCCTGCACAATAGCTGTTGTTTCTGCAGCTGCTCCCATGCCAAAGATGTGTATGGTTGTTCTTGAATAGTAGTCACAGAAATCTCCTATCCACCTGTGGCACATGCCACGTGCTTTGGCTTCATGCTGTAGGTTTAAAGTTTAGTGGAGCACGTTGGGAAGCATGGAGTGAAGTTCTTAGTCCTGAGTTACATCCTGTATGCTTGCCTGCAGTGTCTGTGTAGTTCTCAGCAGTACTATGTACCTCAAATATCTGCTGTGATTCTGGCTCATAAATAATCCTTAAGATAAAAAACAGGTATGTAATGAGCAACCTTTATTGTCAAAGTGCTATGTACAGAGTTACTGTGTTTGCACACCTCATTAAGCGAGAGGAATGTAACCTCTGAGTGGGGCAGACATAAGTGTAGGTAATGTTCCCTCTTCTGTTCCATGGTAGGAAAACCCAGCTTGGCTTCAGACAGTTTTTGCTGACTTTCTGGGATTCTTATATTTGTTTGTATTAAAACTTTACAAAAAGATGCAGTTAGTTTGTTTGTTTCTTTGTTTTTCTCCCCCCTCTATTTGTCAACTGGGTGTAAATACTGTGTGGGTTTTTTTTCTGAGTTGCTTACTCAATGCATGTGGAAAAAAGTACTGAGTATTCCATATAGACATAAATGCAACTCCAGTTCTAAATTGGAGCCCTGGGTATCTGATGTGGAATTGTTTTATGTGCTGTATGGCAACTGTAGTCAGATTTCACCACATGCATATAGAAGTAGTACCACATTTTACACATCTTAAAGAAACTGTAGTGATATACTAGATATAGTCAGGCTATGTCTGCCTTCACATTAATATATTTTAAAGTCTCTCACTTCCTGCCAACAATACATTCTGAGTGCTTTAAATATGAAACTGATGTTAAATTAGTTGTCAGACTGTTTGAAAAATATTCAACTGTAATCAATGATTGAGCAATATGTAGCATACTTTTGCAATGGAAATGGAGTCTATTATTAGGCAGCTTGATATGTTTGGAAATATTACTAGTGATCTGTGATAGCTTCCTGATGTAACCCTACCTATCAGTGAGGAAAGAGCTCTGGCTGTTGAAGAATTTTATATTGCTACTGCAGACAATATGTGTTAGGACTCCTAGCCATTTAGTTGAGCACTGTGACCATACTAATCTTGACTTTAATTGATAAATAAGACCTAAGATTTAATGTTTTGGTTTTTTCCTTTTTAGTTTTATAGTTTTGCAGGGTTTGTTTCCAAGAAGAGGTTTCCAGAGATGCTGCAACTTGAGTATTACCTGAGAGCCTTTCCTCCTTCTGTCTGGCATGCTTCATTCAAATTGGCCCATAGGTTCAAATGTTTTTTGGAAGGTGATAGGAGAGGTACAACATGATTATCTGTACCTCATTTGCCTGAAAAATGGGTCATCAGCATTGACAGGGTGATAGAGGTAGTTAGGTATGTAGAATTAAATTCTGCATCCTCTTGAGTTTTATAGTCCCTGACAAACAGATCTGGAACCGAAGAAATGAGTGCTTAAATAATTGCTCTTTATTGTAGAAGAAAAAGTTATTGTTTATTGCATAAATTAATTGGTTACTGTGGAGTCGGTCATGAATGGAACATTTATCTTCTTACTTACTGACCTCAAGAAAATTTATTGTAGTTACCAAAACACGAGACAAACAAAACTGCTAAATTTTATTAGACTTAGAATCTATTCTATGCCTTTCTCAGTCGATGGTCTTTATGTTTAGCTGCACTAATGGATTACATTCCTTTGGTAGCTGTTTATTTGTCTACATCATAATGATACTGGATTCCTGCATCTCATACTGATACTGAACAATGTGCTGAGTAAGATCATATGCTACAAAAATCGGTTGAGATGTTTGTGTAGCATTAAACTGACACTGAGGTATTTTTTTATTTGAAAGATAATTCACTTAAGGCATTTCAGGAGGACGAGTCTGGTGAATATGTCGGTCAGGTTAAAAATGGCAAAAGGTAAATCATACAGAAATTGGACAGGTGTGTCAAAGGAAGTGGCAAAAGCTTCTTTGTAGTATGAAATAGGATTCCTCGGATTGAAAAAACTATTTCAGTGATGTTTTGCTGTATGCTTAATTAGTTGTGCTGAAGAGCCAAGTGAAAGACTTGTAAGTCATCTTAAGAGAAACAGTTTTTAGACATCTCAGTATGCTGTTTACCAAAATCCATTTTGCCCTTTACGTTTTTATTTAAGAAAGGTACTTGGGCTTTTAAATTGAAACAGAAGCCGATGCATAGATGCTCATCTTGTGGTGTGCTATATCATGTAATGATTTTGTTACAGGAACTGAATCATAGAATCATTTTGGTTGGAAGGGACCTGTAAAGAGCATCTAGTCCAAACTGCCTGCCATGACATAGTGATTTCAAGTTTCTCCAAAGAGTTGGTCTATGTCTCGTTTGTTGTTGCTTTCATGGCTCTGTGGGAAAGTCTTGACTCCTTTCTTTTATGTCCTCATTGTAAGGCCTCAAATTTTCCATAATAGCTTCTCGTGTTATTTTTTTTTACCGTGTCCTTGCTTTGTTGCAACAACACTGTTGGTCAGCTTTAGCTACCTTTGTTCAATTTGTGGAGTATTGGCTTGCTTGGGTTTTTTTTCATTGGCCCTAAATAATCACATCAGTACAAATGTACTTTGTTAGCCCTAAAATAATTTCCTGTTGCCAGAATCTAAAGGCCAAGATGTTTGAAATGAGCAACTGAAATTCTTGCCCAGAGCTATAGAACTGGAATCAAATATGACTGGTATGAATGCAGATTTCTCAACTTCTCTGCCTGCAGATGCTCAAGACTTCCTTTAATGAGGAATGTGGGAGTCTTGTGCACATGTGATAAGGGAGAGTTGAAGACAAGGACAAATCTTTTGGCTCTGGGGTCTCACTGCTGTGCTTTCTCCTCTTTGATCTTCTGTGTTGGATGCAGCTTTTGTGTTGTGTGTGCTGCAGTTTTGAGCTAGCATAAGGTGAGAGGTAGAGAATTGCATGCCTGGAGCATGAGATCTAACACTCAGGTACCTGCAGTCTCCTCACTTAGCTTGCAACAAGGAGTATCATGCACTGTTCAGTCATTGAATACATACCTCAGGAGCCTTCGAGGGAGCATCCCCGCACCCATTCCTCGCTGAGCCCCAGTGCTGCTGCAGAGGGATTAAGTCCAGCGAGTTTTCCAGGCCATAGTTTCAAGGTGTGTTTTCTGCCATTGCAAGTGCTTGCTTAAGGCATCCAACAGTGCATCATTATGGGTTCTGTGTTGTAAACCCTCTCAGGGAACCCCTGGAAATGCTTTTTTTATAACTGAGCACAGCTTGTTGATTATAAAGTGCAGGCCCACACGTAACTTACTGCTAGTACAACATGCCATGGTGTGTCACACGGGTGGGAAGGAGCTTGGAGCAATTTCTTTGTAAGGAATTGTGGTCATGCCCCTGTGCAGTGAGACTGCAGCAAACACTGTTTCCAGCTGCCTTTGGCTCCAGGCTTAATATTACTTAGTCATAGTCAAACTTGCAAAAAACATTTTCTTTTGTTTCAAATTGATGGGTATTTTTCCCCCATTTCTCTCATTGCAGGCTGAAAATCATCGACTCTCTTTCGTCTTTTCCTGGTGGCAGCTCATGTTGTAAAGTAAACATGTTTTCAGTGATTAACAGCAATGACTAGGAGATGTTGCTGAGTAACAAGATGAATACCTACCCTCCTGTTTTGTAAATGGCCAGTGCTCTGACCAACTCAGCAGATCATATCTAAATTGTGTGGGTTTTTTGTGGTTATAACTTTAAAATTTGATATGTGAGATGCATATCAAGTTGTATTAGGTCACGTGTTCTGCTGGAATCAAATTACTTTGCTGTTTAATTAAAATGTGCCTGGGTTAGAGTGGCTGGCTCCCTGCTTTGCATTACTTGGGGGACCATCTTTGCAAACCAGGATAACTGAATTGATCTGGCATGTCTTGAATTACAATAAATACTGTGTATGAGGTTATGCAAGGGTTCATAAAAATGTTTCAATTAATTAATACCTGCTTCAAATAAAATAGGGTTATGTGCAGGTGCTGTCAGGGAATAAGGGACAAAATAATTACATTTATGAGACAGGGCTTGATAATCTGGTATCTCCCCAGGCACCATCAATTATAGGTAACCGTTAAGTAGTCACTATTTTGGGTGTGTGGATGACTGTTTTGGCTACCAAAAAGGTTCCTGGGAGAGGGAGATGGAGAAGAAGAAATTCCCTCTG